AAATGTATTTCTGTTTTTCTTTACAGATTTTGTTAAAAGGCCAAATAAGGACTTCAAACCAAAAAATAAAAGTAATTTTCTGTTTTGTTTTATTCTTGGATCGGGCTTTAAAGGGTTAATGACCTATGAAGCCACCACCGATCAGCTTTCTATATACAAAGATTAAATGACATTAATTAGGGGACTTCTGAAGGCCTTTGACTGGACTGTAGTGTCAGGTGATAAGCGCCTGTATTGAAATACGTGCCACACCTTTCAGAGCTGTATCATTTCCATTATGTTGCTCTGCTTTGCTTTGGCATCATCCCTCAATATCACAGTGAAATAAGCTGAAGCTTGTTTTAAATTGAGGAAGTTCAAAATGTTGGTTCTGCTATTTTGTTTTTATTTCAACTGGTAGATTATGTGTGTTTGTGTTTTTAATGTGGTTCCTGCAGATGTGAAGTGAATTAGAAACAAGGTCAGAACAACATTTAAAGCCCCCCCATCCCCCAATCCATCCCCATCCTTCAAGCATTTCCTGTGTGAGGGGACCATAAAGACATGAATACCTTCCTTTTTCCTTTACATCTTTAAAGCACTGTCAGATTTAGGCTTTATGCTTTCCTTCCTCTTTGGCACAGTTCTGTCTCATATTTTGCAGATTCCTTCTTTTTCTTCTTTCTCTTGTTCTCGTTTTTTTATGTATACAAAACAGCCGCCTTGTGCAAATAATGATCTCCTTGTTGAGTTTATCTTAATGTGCAACCCATGACGAAGCACATGAGATGTGCTGATGATTTTGCCGATAGCATGTTTATTCCTAAAGTATCTTAACTTCAATTTAATTACCGTCTCTAAATAGAAAACAAGCCTGTTATTTATTTTTTCCCTTTTCTCTTTTTTTTCCTCTTAAGTTAATGACGTATTAAGACCTAAAGGATATAATATGCAGTGGTGTACAGGGACTTCCTGTCTCTCAGTTCCTTTTAGCTTTTGTCCATTTACTGTGGTACAGAGGATGTACATGTTTTGCTATGGGGACCAATTAATTTCTGGCATATGGATATCAGACTGTTTTGAAGGATGCAGCAGGGCTGATTTTAGCTCTACTAGCTTTTAGTTGTGGCAGTAGAGAATTGCTGAAAGAAATAAAATAATACACAACACTTAAGTAGCCTATGTACACTGAAAAAAGTAATGCAACTGTTTTTGGTATCTACTTGATTATATTTAGTACTTTAATGTCATTTTTTCCATTGTCATATCCTGCTAACAAGAAACATTTGTGTTTAGTAACTTAATATGATTAAGTAGATGCCAAAAACTGATATTTTATTTCTTTATGTTACTTTTTCTAGGTCAGAAATGGGCAGTAAATGGCAAAGAAGTGAATTGAGCTGAATAGGCTTCCCCAAAAATGTAGTTTTAAAACCTCCTAAATTGTGCTTTATTCCAAACGTTAAAGAGCTTAATATGAAATACCTAAGTGAATAATTTACAGTTGTTCACTCAGGTTTCTTCCTGTTAAAAGGGAGTTTTTCCTCTCCACTGTCACTACAAGCATGCTTAGTGTGAGGGATTGTATTTGAGTCAATGAGTCGATGCAATCAACTGGTTTTTCTTAGATAGAAAACGTTGAATCAATTTGACTGGATGATCTGGTTGAACTGTAAAGTGTCTTGAGATGACGTGTGTTGTGAATTTGGCGCTATATAAATAAACTGAATTGAATTGAATTGAATTCACAACAAAAGCGGATTAAGTTGTAATAACAACAACAACAAAAAAAATCATTCTTTTGAGATTAAAACTGCCATCAGTCATACTTATGTAAAACATTTTAAACCTGTAAACAGCAAAACTACGCCCCTATGTCCTAACTCTGCTGCGAGATCTAGGTATATTGTACTTTGACAGTAATATAAAGTTGTATATCATCAGCATACATATAACAAGGGAGCAGCTAACCATTAATTGGTCAAGGATGTCCCTTTAAAAAAATGATTGAATGTGGCCGAGAATGGAGCCCTGAGGAACTTAAAGCATTATTTTGTTCATTCACATTTATATTCGCAAAATGGCTCAAAATGATCCATGTTTTCTGGTACGATTCAGCCCTGTACCCAGAATCCCACCCACTTATCATGTCTATTAGTTTTTTATTTTGTTATCAGCTGTGCCTGAGATACAGTAAAGCCATAAAAAGCCACATAGAATTTCAAAATTTTCAGGCTTTCAAAACTCTAATAATCCCAGTAGACACTTTGAATTCTCCATGTCTGGCTTAATTATTTAAATATCAATTTAATTAAACTGCCCTGATTGAAATAGAGCAAGTTATTTTTTTCAATCTAGTCCAATGATAGTAGGTATTATTAAAAAAAGGCTTAAATATTAAAACAAATATCAGACATTAAGAACCGAGTTAGCTCAAATAATTTCAAAACTGTGATAATATGCTATATAATTTGATTATCACACATTTTTAAAACCTGTTTCAATGGTTGTAAGAAAATGGGTGATTTATTATAGCATGGCTTTCTTAGATAAATGTGTGGCGCTCATCTGTCTTCAAAAGACAGATTTGTGAGTCTGAGATCAGAATAAAGCAATGGAAGAAAAACATGGGTAGAAAGACAAGAAAGAAGTAAATTATGACAGAAAAAAAAGGGTTTAGAGGAACTACTTGAAGTAGATCAGTATGTTCATAAGGTGAACATATGGGGGGAAATGAAGCTAGAAAAATGAGGGAAAGAAAAGGGTTAAGGAGTGAGAGCACAATCTGTATTGTATAGTTTTATTTTCTACATGTTTTTTGCTTTGAAATCTTGGCTGCTGAGAAATCCTAAGCTGTCCTCATTTTATCTCTTCCAGAACAGAAACAAGGTGGACGTCACAACGCCGGAGGGCCGTGGAAATCACTAACCGCACGCACGTACGCGTAGACTATGATTGGTAGGTTCCGTTCTTCCTGTCGTCTGATGTGTTTTGCAGCAATAAATGTACGTTAATCATGTATGCACGCACAGCGTTGCCTTGGAAAGCTGCTGTGCTGTTTGTATAGCTATTCATTATCATGCTAAATGACAGTTATCTTTTACATAGGAAGCACACTGGTATAGCTGGATATTCTGCTTCTCCTCTGATTAAAACAAATAAGGTTAGATCTGAGGAAGTTTCAGGTATTAATCTCAGTTTTAAAGATCTGGTTTCTATTTAATTTACCTCAAAATATATGAGTACTGTGATTAAAACCAGAGCAGGGTGCGCAAATCGGAACTAATTTGTTTGTTTTTTTAGAAAAATAAAACATACTTGTATAGATACATGCATACACCTATTTGATTAAATATCCTTTTAATTCTGGCTCCTTATTTGAGCATCCTCCTCTGTGAAATTGGTAGCTAATTTTAATTGGTTGGTTTAATTGAAGGCCACAGCTTCATCCAATTCACAATCAGTTAACTGCAATACCTACAGTAACGATTCTCCAGCTGAGTAGCCGTCCTTCTTTATTATGCTTTCATTTTGTATCACTGACATGTATGTCTGATATCAAGTTTCCCCCACAGCATGATGCTACCGTAACTGTGCCTGCACTGCAAAAATGATCTCAAAATGAGTAAAAATGTCTTAAATTAAGGGTATTTACCCTTAATTTGAGCAGGTAAATAAGATGATTTGCCAATGGAAGTAGTATTTTTAACTCTTAAAATAAGGTATCTAGATAAAATGCAC